AAAAAAAAAGATCAAATACATTCCAAACATTTTTCTGAAAATATCTGAAAACAATCAACAATTGTCGAGTTGCATTTGACTAGGTTTGGTTCGGAATTAAAAACGACAACGCGAATAAATTGAAACGACGAACACAGTGGCTGGCTGATAGCTTTCGTCAACAATTTTTTTGCTCCTTTCTTTCCTCTCATTTCCAGCACATTTATCTTTGTCCTTTGTGGCTTCATCGTTGTCTTTAGTGGCCGTTTGATCACTACCATTCGCTGAGCCAGGCGATTGAGTGCCACGACGTTCGCGACTCGACAACTTGCGTCTATCGCGTTGTCGTGATGTTGCCCTCAAGAGTCGACCTTCCTCATCACTACCGCTAACCGTCTCCGACAATTCCTGTTTCACCGTTGACGGACACGGAGACGTCGAGCAGACGCCAGCAGATTCCACTGATTCAGCGATCACGTCTCCTGCGTCTGATTTCTCTTCCTGAACCGAAAATATTTAAGAAGATACGCAAAAAGCACTTGATTCATTCCGTTACCTAAACGTCTCAAAACCTAATTTACTACAATATCTAGCTGTTTATTACACATCTTCTATACATCGTCAAAATTTCAGCAAATCAAATTTCATTCGCATCGATAGGAATTGAAAGATTTAGCCAATATTGCTCACTGCCGGCAATAACGAATACATCCGGATGGGATATCTCCGAAAAGGTCAAATCGCAACAAAGTACTACAAACTAGGTCTATTAATTCAACGACACTGGCGGTTCGCTATCATCTCCGTTGTATACACAGCATATATTCATTCAGTTACGATGGATACATAACAAACGATACGTAATTACAATATTAGCACGAAAAAGCTTTCTTTTCTGGTCATTAAGCAACATTCAAGCACACACACACACATACACACGAATGACTGATCCAATCATGACGAAACAAACCTTTGGCTTTGGCATTTTCTTCAAATCATCTTCTTTTGACGTTTTTTTCGTGTCGCTGACCACAGTTGCTTTAGTTTTCTCACTCAACTGTGACGATTCCTTTTCACTCGAATGCGTTTTCCTTCAAACATAATACATAGAACACACTGGCTGGCGATGTACTCAATTTTGTGTTTAACCACCGATAGAAAACACCTAATAAAACATTCTAAGTGAACGTCTAATGTGAGAACATATCCTGATGCTCACAATCGGGACTAACACAGTTCCGACCTCGACACTACCGGACATCGTAATTTCCGCAAGATTCTTCAAGTGAGCGATACCGTTTCATCGCTCTCTT